ACTGGATTGTTAATATTAGCCGCAGCGTGCCGAGAAGCTCATAATATTCCCACTATCTTTAGAAGTTGGGTCTTGGGGTGCCCTATCACACAATGAGTCGCAATCATCCCACGGTGCATGCAATCATCCCACCCCTCTTCCAATTGTCCCACGGTTCTCCCATCTTCGCACGGCTCTCGTCTTTCATTGGTAGGCTCAAGGTTGGCCCCTAGAATGCTCTCCTTGCCAAGGAGTTTGCTTTTTTCCTTAGTTAATTCAAGGCCTTTACGTATGCCCAGGCTCTCCACAATGATTCACAACATATGGGTTCCTGGAAACAGAACCCTGTTACCCCCCAGAAGAGTAAGTAGGTCGCTTGAATGAACTCTTCCTTATAATTTTTTGCCATTTTTGCTTTGCCTCAAAATTTCGTTGGAATAATTACAGGGGGGAAGGATCCACAGACGCTTTGGGAAGTTTTTGCCTTTCTAAATTAGCCTGGTTGTTTTGCGAATGGGTTGCATGCTTTGCGAGATAATGAACAGGTCGTAAATCAGAGCCGAAGTATTGTAATAAATTCATAGGCATACCCACTGCTAAAATACTGAATTTATATGTGTGGGCGGGAAGTAAATTGCGGAGATAACATCATAGCTGGCACTTGACCATGTTAAAATGTGCTTGGGCCAACATATTTTACCTCTACGATAGTGGGCCCTGCCGCACCAGCGGGCTTACCTGTGTTTATCTTTAAAGAGAGTGAAGTGGTATACAGCAAGAAGAACATGCCTTCACTTCGCTCCGGCCCGGGCATAGGTGAAACAGAATATTGAACCACGATTAATCAACCTGAGCCTGAGCCTCACAGTGACGAGTCAAAGAGGAGCCTGGCAACGCGCCAGCAGACGCACTACATAATACATGTAAACAGAAGGTTACGCATTGTGGGGCTTGAAGGAGGAGGAATGGAAGAAGCAATGGACACACTTACAAAAAGCGAGCATCCCGGCATCCCCTTCGCCTGTTGCTCGCGCCGTCTATGCAAGATTTGAAGCCGAGCAGCAGGTGCTTCAATGCGCTTGAGCACGCACAACGCTGGTTTTCACTTGATGGCCCACTTGCACCCAGCGTTCTGTGCAGTGCACAGCAGTTCTACGGCATGAGGACAGCAATGAACAGCTTCGTGACGTCGCAGTTTGACGGCATAGCCGGGTCGTAGCAAGGCGCTAAATCGACGCACTGATTCATATCAGACCGAGATATTCGACAGTAATGGCCACAAATATCCTATGCTTGAAAAGAGGACGACAGCTCATTACTCACAGCTTTTTTTTGATAAGTCACATGCATAAATCACGAGACTTTGTAGAGTTCTTGTCGCCGCCGGTTCCCACGACTCGAAATCCGTGTGTTTTTCCCGGAGGTGCCGCGCGCCGCGAGCGCTAGCGAGCGGCAGTGCGGCACTGTATGGCAAGGAAATAGAATTAATACATGTTGGAGAGTCCGCGCCAGAGGCAGGTACAATATACTTGTAAGGCAGGTAAAACCATTAGCGGAAGAGAGGGAAGCAGTCAAGGAAGGAATTTGATGAAAAGATCTCATTTGCCCAAAAGGAGATAAAGGCTTCGGACAGAAAGGGGTTATTTTGTAAGGGGTTATTTTGTAAAAAGGGTGAGGTGAAGTATCGGACAGCCTTTTTAGTGTGGCCTGTCAAGAAACTTGCCAGCAGTATTTACACTGCACGTACGACTGTGCTTCTGAACATAGCACGCCCCTGCAAGTCGTAGTAGCGGTAGCCTCTAGCACCTACCATGAGTCAAGCCGCTCAAGCCTGTCTTTCCTCCCTTCACTTCCTCTGAGTCTGACACATGGCACAGAAAAGCTACAATGTTCACGCCAGCCTCGACCAGCAGCTGTCGACTCTGGGCGTATCGATGGCCGATACAGTGCTGCAAGTAAAGAGTTGGCGGTCTATCCGCCGGACGGACTCTCTCCAGCTGTTAAACAGCAACCTCAATTCTCTGGCCATTATAGTACGTATTTTCCGACGAGTCACCGACTCACATGAATATTATGATGCAGGCCACTTTTCTTGCTGCAGTACAAGCCCAGGCGATCAGCTTTTCCTTGAATAACAACACCACCATTCTCCAGAACGCAGTTAATGCCCTTTTTTTCGGCGGGCTCTTGGTCGATGTTCTGGGTGGCACAATCGCCATAGTAGGGTCTATTCAACTTCAGCGCACACATGAACTACTGAAGCAGAGAGACTCATCGCTTGCCGGTCTCGAAGATGTTTTGAAGAACATTGCCGGAGCTTCGAAGGGACAGGACATGGCTCTGGGACATGAACTCCGGCTCGTTCTTGCGCATCACCTCCGTTTCCTGGGAGAGATAGTTGTATTTCCACCGCTGCACAGTCCTCGGCTATGGGCCACGCTTTCTGTGCCTCTTGGTCAGTCTGCGCGTCTCGTAGAGCAGATTCTGAAAGAACTCGAGCCCGAACAGTCACTCCTAATCAGCGCCACATACTCCCTTTCAGACTACCGCCACGCGACGAACGGCCTGATAAAATATCGACTCGGAACCAGCGTGGGACTCGCTGCGAGTTTGACGGCGCCTTATATCGTCCTCGCTGGGCTCTGCTGCTTCACGGCTGGCGCATTATGTCTTGCACGGGATAGTCAACCAGTCCAAGTTTGGGCGACCTCGTCTGTGATGTTCGGGGGCACAATACTTCTGTTGATAATAGTTGTTGCATTCATTACGGGCCTTGATCGCCAGCCGATTGAACTGCCATTCAACGAAGTATGATTTTGATTCCTCGTGTTTACTGAATATCCATCAGTATGCCCGCGCAAAATTCATCATGTACTGTAGTATTTCGACCAAGTGTTCACGGGATGTCACCCGTCACCTAAGTTGTTCATGGAACTGGTGTTCATTCATCGGCAATCACGAGAAAATCACCATATAGCAGTTCTGCCGATGCCGGAACAGAAATTTTGACAGTTTTTTGTCCTATCACATCGGCCAAATTTGTTCGGTTCACGACCCTCGTCACCCGTCATCGCGTTACCCGTCACCCGTACACTTGGTCGAAATACTACAGTACTTAATAAGCTGCTTTGAAGATAATAGTACTATCTCCTCTTCCACCTGCCGCCCACCTGCTCGGAATCTGCGACAAGGGTGTGCGGGCCAGCCAAGCCGAGACCTACGGCAGGGAGGGTTGGTTGACCGGGAGGCTGAGAAGGAAAAAATTGCATTTATGATTTCCTGCACTTGCTTCTCAGATCTTTATAAGAAAAGACATGAGTGTCTCGACAAAAGTCAAAGAGGAGCAAATGGAGCGGCAAACTGGGTTTAGCCGTAAGTGGGTCCGAGTTCGTCCGCATGTTGAATTCTTGCTTGATGCTTGCGTCTGACTCCACAGCGATGTCGAGATGTTATTTTTGCACTTCGGCTGTCGCGGAACGGGCAAGGGGAGACAGGTAAACTGCAGAGTAATAGAACTGGCCATGGGGCGACAGAGCCTAGGCGAAGGCAGGGCGCGCCGGCTACTGGTGATGGCAAAACAAGAGTGACTATATCCACATAAGATCAAAATATCAGCGAGACATGAGTGAGCCTCCTCCCTGCCTTTTCACCCTCATTGTGGAATTTTCTGGGGAATGGCAAAAAGATTGGACGGAAAGAATAGATAGGTTGCGCAAAAGCTGCATGAGCCCCATGCGACAATTTGTGCATTGCGCAATGCCGCAGCTTTTTTTTTTGTTGCTGTTCTTGGTTCTTGTCTTTCGTAGTACCATTAAATGCCTCCCAAATCTCATATTCCACTCTCAAGTGTTATGTTTTGCATGTGCCCCTGTGGGAGGCCGCATTTTTCAAGCATCATGAAGGCATCACTCACTTTCCCCATACTTTCACGGCTGCCACGCAGCAGAGGCAATGCCAAAGATCTTCCCTCTCCCTACAAACAGCCCATTTATTCAAGGCTGGAATGGGAGGAGGAAGGCTCGGTAGTGGATGGTCCACATTTGCCCTCAATACTTAGAAGGAGTACGTATATTGATTGCAGATATTGCCTGTTCAACTCAGGCCCGAGCCATCACTCTTTTTGACCCTTTTTTAAAAAATTTAATTTAATTTTAAATTTTAAATTTTAATTGGGCCAGTCCCTCTAGAAATTCTCAGTTGTGAGAAACATTGAAAAGGAGGTAGGAAGGCTCGGTAGTGGAGGCCCGCATCTGCTTTCCATTATTTATTTCTGTTGAAAGTCAATAATGCAGACAAAGCCTGTTCGACTCGGGCCTAGTGTTGGGTGCGGGTTCGGGTAAAACCCACGGTATTGCGGGTCGGGTCGGCCGGGTACGGGTCACGGGTTACTGCCCAGTCAGACCCGCAAGCCTGCGGGTTTTCACGGGTACACCCCAAATATATATTTCAAGCATATACTACTCCATGCCAATTTCTTACAAAATACCACTGAATCCCGCAGATAAGCTTGAAAAAATAATTGTACAAGCCAGACAGGTGAATGGATTCCATTTCTAGCAAGACAAACCAGTTACCGGCCGTAGTAACCGGACAGTAATGTCCTAGGCTGTATCTGGGAGCCTGCTGGCGCGTGCCGAGTGCTCGGATCACCTTTGATCCGCAACCCGTAGAGACCCGTGAACCCGCGGGTGCAGGTGCGGGTTTTCCCGGGTTCGGGTCCGGGTCGCTGCTTCCAGACCCGAACCCGTACCCGTGCCCAACACTACTCGGGCCCGAGCCATGTAGGGTTGTTGCACTCTTTTTGCCATTCCCCAGAAATTCTACAATAAACTGAGGGTGCGGAGCGAGGGAAAAGAGCTCCGTGGAGGGTCCGCATCTGCCTTTCATTTCAAATTGTCACCAGAGTAATGCAGACACTACCTGTTCGACTCAGGCTGGAGCCATCACATCTTTGTCTCGCATTTCTTTTTCATTCGCTCTGAAATTCTGGATTATGGGGAACATTTAGGGAGAGGTTGGAAGGCTCGGTAGCGGAGGGTCTGCATCTGCACTCCATTCGTAAATTCCCTGACATAATGCAGATAATGCCTGTTCGATTCAGGTCCGAGCCATTACTGGTTGCCTATGTCTTTTTTGTCCCTTTTGCTATTCCCCAGAAATTCCACAATAAAATGAGGGTGCAGAGCAAGGTGGGTAAGGCTCGGTAGCAGATGGTCCGTATCTGCCCTCAATGGCAGGAGTGCATATATCGATGCAAACATAGCCTGTTCAACTCAGGACCGAGCCATACATGGCCTTGACAACTCTTTTTTTTCTTGTCTCAGCCATTCCCTCGAGAAATTCTATAATAAAACATGGGTCCAGGGGAAGTAGATAAGGCTCGGTAGCGGATGGTCCACATCTGCACTCCATTTGTGCATCTCCAGATTTAATGCAGACATTGCCTGTTCGACTCAGGCCCGAGCCATAGCAGTTTTCATCGCAATTTTTTTTTTTCTTCCATTTTTGCCATTCCCCCTGAAAATTGTGACTGATGGGAGGTGCAAAGCGAGGTAGGAAGGCTTGGTAGCGTATGGTCCGCATCTGCTCTCCATTATTGGTGCTTCCCCAGATGTAATGCAGACAAAGCCTGTTCGACTCAGGCCCGAGCCATTTCTAGTTTGGTTGGCATTTTCTTCTTTTTGCCAATCCCGCTAGAAATTCTCGGTGGTGAGAAATATTTAAAAGGAGGTAGAAAGGCTCGGTAGCGGATGGTCTGCATCTGCTTTCCATTCTGAGTGTTTCATAAGATAATGCAGACAAAGCCTGTTCGACTCAGGCCCGAGCCATTTCTTGTCACTCGGAGTGTTTTTCTTCTCCTCTCATTAATTCCCCAGAAATGCAACAGTAAAATAAGGGTGGAGAGGGAGGTGGATAAGGCTCGGTAGCGGATAGCCCGCATCTTCTTTGCATTGTGTGCACCAATTCATGATTATGCAGACATAGGCTCGAAACTAGCCTGTAGATGAGAGACGAGTCTCGATCTACAGGCTGGTTGATCGGAGTTTGAAATCAGGTAACGCGCGAGTTACCATAAAAGGCTATTAGATAAGCAAGTGTGAATTGGGGCATTGAAATACGAATTTCCAATATACGAGTACCTATAATAATAGAGTCTATGTATAAAATGTCCTGTGTCTTTTAAAGAGCCCTGAATTTGATGAATTCATAATGCTAGAATTTCTTTTCAGTCAGGTTGTGTTTGTTTGGCTCGGGCGTGCTCCGCCAAAAAATTGTTTATCTAATAGCCTTTTATGGAAGTTCCGCGCGTTAACCGATTTTGTCGACCGGTCTGTCTATCAACAGCTTTGCTTCATAGACAGACCGGCTCCGGTCTAATGCAGACACTGCCTGTTCGACTCAGGCCCGAGCCATAGTTGATTTTGCTTCTCTTTTTTTTTCTTTTTCTCCTGCCATTAATTCCAGATAATTCTACAGTAAAATAAGGGTGGAGTGGGGGAGGAAAGGCTCGGTAGCGGAGGATCCGCATCTGCCCAATATACTTCTTGTACAGCATTGATGCAGATAATGCCTGTTCGACTCAGGCCCGAGCCATTTCTTGTCTCCTCTCATTCATTCCCCCAGAAAATTCTACGATAAAACAAGAGTGCAGAAGGAGGTAAGAAGGCTCGGTAGTGGAGGGTCCGCATCTGCTTTCCAATGTCTGCATAGTTTCCTTAAACACATTCAATGGAAAGCAGATGCAGACCATCTGCTACCAAGCCTTTCCTTCCCTCGCTCCGCACCTTTATTGTAAAACTTTCTGGGGAATAGCAAAAGGGACAAAAAAGACATAGGCAACCAGTCATGGCTCGGGCTTGAGTTGAACAGTTATCTGCATTATGTCAGGGAATCCACGAATGGGGTGCAGATGCAGACCCTCTGCTACCGAGCCTTCCTACCTCCCTTTCAATGTTCCTCACAAGCCAGAATTTCAGAGCAAATGAAAAAGAAATCCGAGACAAAGATGCAATGGCTCGGGCCTGAGTTGTAACAGGATGTCTGCGTGAACATCCTCCAAGATGACACACATATTGGGCAGATGTGGATTCCTCCACCGAGCCTTCCTACCTCTCTCTAAATGTTCCTCACAGACAGAATTTTTAGAGTGAATCACAAAAAAGCGAAGAAAGATGAAAGACGACAGGCCTATGGCTCGGGCCTGAGTCGAACAGGCTTTGTCTGCATCAATGCTGTACAAGAAGTATATTGGGCAGATGCATGCTGAATTTTTTCCCTTTTTTTTCATTCGCTCTAAAAATCCTGTGGAATAATGAAGGTGCACAGCAGGATGGGAAGGCTCGGTGGCAGATGGTCTGCATCTGCTTTCCATGACATATTGTCACCAGAGTGATGCAGACAGCCTGTTCGACTCAGGCCCGAGCCATGAATGGTTTCACCACAATTTTTTTTTTTTTTTTTCATTTTTGCCATTCCCCCAGGAAATTCAGCAATAAACTGAAAGTGCGAGGAAAGGCTCGGTAGCAGAGGGTCTGTATCTGCTTTCCATTTCTCGTGTTCTGTAAGATAATGCCGATAAAGCCTGTTCGACTCAGGCCCGAGCCATAACTCAATCGCGTTCTCTTTTTTCATTGTCATTCCCTCGGGAAATTGTGAGTTATGCGAGGTCCAGAACGAGGGAATAAGGCTCGGTAGTGGATGGTCTGCATCTGCTTTCCATTCGACGGGATTATATAAGAGTAATGCAGACATAGCCTGTTCGACTCAGGCCCGAGCCATCATCTTTTCTACTCCATTTTTTTTTCCTTTTCATTCCCCAGATATAATTCCATAATAAAACAAGGGTGGAGAGGGAGGTGGATAAGGCTCGGTAGTGGATGGTCCGCATCTGCTTTCCATCATTTGTTCCGCTGAGAGTAATGCAGACAAAGCCTGTTCGAGTCAGGCCCGAGCCATTACTCCTTTCTCAGCTGTTTTTTTCTCCTGGTATTCATTCCCCAGAAAATTCTACGATAAAACACGGGTAAGAGCACAGTGGATAAGGCTCGGTAGCGGAGGGTCCGCATCTCCACCCAATAGTCTTTGAGATCAACTTGGACGCAGATCCTGCCTGTTCGATTCAGGCACTGCGTTCAGACCCCGTAGGCACAGGTCTGCCAGATCCTGATAGGCAGATGTGTAGGCAGACCAGTGTGCTGACCCTTGCCCATCCATCTGCCCATCCCTGCCAAGGTTGGTCTAGGTATTCCCACTGGATTAGGCACACATAGACTAGCTAAGCCTAGTTAGCCAAATTCAAAATCTGACATGGTTTGTACCTGTCCAGCCATTCCAGCCAACACCAACCTAGACCCAGGTCAGCCAAGGTTGACCAAGGTTGGCCAAGATAGACACACCACTGTCGGCAAAGATCTACCAAGGTGGGCAGGCTTTGCCTTGGTAGGGATGCTAGACCAACGTCGGCCGATGCCTATTAGGGTGGGCAGTCCGTAGGCGGGGATCGGTGAAGGTGGGCACATCTGTGCCTATGGGGGGGTCTGAATGCAGTGAGGCCCGAGCCATGCTATCTTTCCATGCAGTTTTTTTTTCCTGTCATCCCTCCAGAAAATTCTACAATAAAACATGGGTCCAGAGGGAGGTAGGAAAGCTTGGTGGCGGAGGGTCCGCATCTGCTTTCCATTTCAAATTGTCACCAGAGTAATGCAGACAAAGCCTGTTCGACTCAGGTCCGAGCCATTTGCTGTGTAGCCTGCTCTTTTTTATTTTATCCCCTACCACTCACATGCCTTCCAACCAACCCAACATTCCCTACGTACTGTCAATCTATACAGCGACCAGGTGCCTGAAATTTGAAGTCGAAAAATCAACTAAGCTGGTCTCCAAAAAAACAGCCCATTTATTCAAGGCTGGAATGGGAGGAGGAAGGCTCGGTAGCGGATGGTCTGCATCTGCTTTCCATTAATCAGGTATTCCAGAGGATAATGCAGACACTGCCTGTTCGACTCGGGCCTGAGCCATAACTCATGCACATCTTCTTCTTTTTTTGCTCTTGTTTCTCTCCACAGAATTCTGAGGTATAGAAGGTGCGAAGCAAGGGAATAAGGCTCGGTAGCGGACGGTCTTTCCATCAGAAGTGTGCGAGCAAATAATGCAGATTTCGCCTGTTCGACTCAGGCCCGAGCCATTGCATATTTGTCTCGGATTTCTTTTTCATTCGCTCTGAAATACTGGCTTGTGAGTAACATTTAGAGAGAGGTAGAAAAGCTCGGTAGCGGTGGGTCTGCATCCGCCCTCAATGCTATAACATGTTGGAATATGGGAATATTTGGCATGCAGGTTCAACGGGTACCTTGTGTAGCCACACGGCAGTGCAAGTACCTGCAGGGTAAACGGCGAATATATGATGTAGGGTCAACGGAATTGTCGTATAGATTTTATCTTTTCCTTTTAGTTATAGTAAGGTACATTACTTATCCATTTAGTTATACTCAAGAACTCGTCTCAAGTATATATTCTTCTGTACTCGAGTCGTCTCCCTCAGACTTCCGCTACTCTCTGTGCGCGAAGACTGAGGTGAGCCGACTCTCTTACTTACTTCTTTACTCTTTACTGACTCGTACCTAGTTATCTATTATCTAGGTGAATACACTGCGCCAGAAATTCCACAATAAGATGAGGGGGAAGAAGGAGGGAATAAGGCTCGGTAGCAGATGGTCTGCATCTGCTCTCTGTGGCTTCTTCCTGTCGTCATACTGCAGACAAAGCCTGTTCGACTCGGGCCCGAGCCATTCCATTGCTGGTACATCTCTTTTTTCTCGCTGTAGAAATCCTACAATAAAATAAGTGTGCAGAGGGAGGTAAATACGGCTCGGTAGTGGACCGTCCACATCTGCTTTCCATTACATGTATGAATAGATAATGCAGACATAGCCTGTTCGACTCAGGCCCGAGCCATCACATCTTTGTCTCGCATTTCTTTTTCATTCGCTCTGAAATTCTCGGTTGTGAGGAACATTTAGAGAGAGGTAGGAAGGCTCGGTAGCAGAGGGTCTGCATCTGCTTTCCATTCAAGATGTAGATGCGTGAAAATGTTAATGTAGACATAGCCTGTTCGACTCAGGCCCGAGCCATTTCTAGTTTAGTTGGCATTTTCTTCTTTTTGCCAGTCCCTCTAAAAATTCTCAGTTGTGAGTAACATTTAGAGAGAGGTAGAAAAGCTCGGTGGTGGATGGTCCGCATCTGCCCTCCATGATTATCTTGATGCAGACAATGCCTGTTCAACTCAGGTCCGAGCCATAACTCTTACCATTCAATCTTTTTGCCCTTCCCGAGAAAATTTTACAATAAAATCCGGGTGTAAAGGGAGGTGGATAAGGCTCGGTAGTGGAGGGTCCACATCTGCAATCGATTCCGACGAGCCAATCTTCTATTGTGCAGACGAAGCCTGTTCAACTCAGGCCCGAGCCATACGACTCCTCTTCCCCTGTGATTTTTTTGTTTTGTTTCATTTTTGCCATTCCCGATACGATTCTACAATATGCTGTGGGTGTATAGGGAGGTAGGAAGGCTCGGTAGCAGAGGGTCTGCATCTGCTTTCCATCATTGTGTCCAGAGCAAATAATGCAGACATAGCCTGTTCGACTCAGGTCCGAGCCATAACTCTTGCGCATCTTCTTTTTTTTTGCTCTTGTTTCTCTCCACAAATTCTTAGGTATAGGACGTACGAAGTGAGGGAAGGAAAGGCTCGGTAGCGGACGGTCCACATCTGCTTTCCATCACAAGTGTGCGAGCAAATAATGCAGACAAAGCCTGTTCAATTCAGGCCTGAGCCATTCCATTGTTGGTACGTCTCTTTTTTCTCGCCGCAGAAATTCCACAATATAATGTGGGTGTAGCGGGAGGCAAATAAGGCTCGGTAGCGGATGGTCCGCATCTGCTTTCCGTGACGTGGGATGCCAGAGCATAATGCAGACAATGCCTGTTCGACTCAGGCCCGAGCCATTGCATCTTTATCTCGGATTTCTTTTTCACTCGCTCTGAAATTCTGGCTTGTTAGGAACATTTAGAGAGAGGTAGGAAGGCTCGGTGGAGGGATCCACATCTGCCCAATATGTGTCATCTTGGAGGATGTTCACGCAGACATCCTGTTACAACTCAGGCCCGAGCCATCACATCTTTGTCTCGCATTTCTTTTTCATTCGCTCTGAATTCTGGCTTGTGAGGAACATTGAAAGGGAGGCAGGAAGGCTTGGTGGAGAGTCCACATCTGCTTTCCATTTCTCGTGTTCTGTAAGGTAATGCAGATAAAGCCTGTTCGACTCAGGCCCGAGCCATAGTTGATTTCACTCCTCTTTTTTTTTTTCTCCTGCCATTACAGCTAATGTCGGAACCGAAGGCGCGGTGAAAATTTTTCTGTTTTGGGACATTTCCGAAGAATTCCCCATAACTCGATGAGTTCTCAACGGATTGACACGAAACCTAGCTAGTTTTTCCAGGCTAATTCATCTGCAATTAGTGATGTAAAGGAAATTGCGAAAATGTATTTTATCTTTCCATTTGGCACCTGAGGCATTGTTTCTGTTGAACACCTCCTAGGAGGGTGGGCACTTGTTCAAACACACTGAATTTTTGGGATGGAAGACTTACATGCATTATAAAGAGGGTGATGTTGCCAGAATTATGATTCTCTTCTCTATTGAGTCACTATTGACTCGGAAGTAATCTTTCGATCAAAAAATTTCGAACTCAATCAATAGTGACTCAATGGAGATAAAAATCATAATTCTGGCAACATCACCCTCTTTATAATGCATGTAAGTCTTCCATCCCAAAAATTCAGTGTGTTTGAACAAGTGCCCACCCTCCTAGGAGGTGTTCAACAGAAACAATGCCTCAGGTGCCAAATGGAAAGATAAAATACATTTTCGCAATTTCCTTTACATCACTAATTGCAGATGAATTAGCCTGGAAAAACTAGCTAGGTTTCGTGTCAATCCGTTAAGAACTCATCGAGTTATGGGGAATTCTTCGGAAATGTCCCAAAACAGAAAAACTTTCACCGCGCCTTCGGTTCCGACATTAGCTGTAATTCCAGATAATTCTACAGTAAAATAAGGGTGGAGAGGGAGGTGGATAAGGCTCGGTTGCGGATGGTCCGTATCTGCTTTGCATTGCTCGATTCAATCCACAGTATGCAGACAAAGCCTGTTCGACTCAGGCCCGAGCCATAGCTCTTTTCGTGCTTTTTTTTTTTTGTCTCCTGTCATTCATTTGATATACATATGTGTAAAAATGGAGATATTTCTGTTCGACCCAGGCACGAGCCATAACTCTTGGGTCTATTTCATTTTTATTCCCCTCTAAAAATTGTGACTTATGAAGGTGCAGATTAAGGGAAGTAGGAAGGCTCGGTAGTGGAGGGTCCGCATCTGTTTTCCGTCACTTGTTGCCGATAGAAGTATGCAGATATTGCCTGTTCGACTCAGGCCCGAGCCATTCATCGATTCGTGAGCTGATTTTTTTTGCCATTCCCCCACAAAATTCTGCATTAAAACAAGAGTGCAGAGGGAGGTAGGAAGGCTCGGTAGCGGATGGTCTGCATCTGCTTTCCAGTATTTCTTTCTGTCGTCATACTGCAGATGATGCCTGTTCGACTCAGGCGCGAGCCATTGCTCTTTCCCGTACATTTTTCTTCTCCTGACATTCATTGTCCCTAAATTCCATAATAAAATATAGGTGATCGGTAGGGGTCCACATCTGCACTTTATTCATAGGTGCGAAGGAGATTGCAGACATCACCTATTCAACTCAGGCCCGGGCCATCGTTGGTTTCATTCAAATTCCTTTCTTCTTTTTGCCATTCCCCCCAAAATTCCACAATACAAAAAGGGTGTAGAGGGAGGTGGATACTGCTCGCTTGAGGGTCCGCATCTGCTTTCCATTATTTGCTTCCAAGAGAATAATGTAGATAATGCCTGTTCAACTCAGGCTCGAGCAATTATCTTTGTATTGGAATCTTTTCCTCACAGCGGAAATTCTGGGGCACAATGCAGGTGTTCGGCGAGGGAGAAAGGCTTGGTAGCGGGTCTTCATCTGCTTTCCATTCGTAGTATACCAGACAGCTATGCAGATATCACCTGTTCGACCCAGGTCTGAGCCATGATATTCTCCGAAGATTCTTATTATTATTATTTTCCTCGTCTACCACTAACCTGTGAGTCAGTGTGTCAACCAACTCAACCTCTAGCACCCCGAATCCACACAGCCAGTCCCTTGCCAGAAGTTTCAGCTAGGCAAGAGAAAACTTGAATGTCATAAGAAGTCTGCCATCCCAAGTCAGTTCAAGGCTACACTCCAAAACTGACAGATTTATTCTAGGCTGTAATGTGAGGAATAAGCACTGCGTTCAGTCCCCCTGTAGGCACACCCTTGCCTACGTTCGTTACATGGGTCAAAATGTGTCGATCGCCGTAGGCAAGGCCCCCGGGTAGGGCACTGTTTATTAGTCCAGTTTGCAAACATTGTTTTAAACACGGGTTTATAAACTGGTTTTTAAATGGTCTGGCTCAAAGTGCCGGTTTATAATTCACAGTGGCTGTGCTCATTAGGCCCGGCTTGACTCCAATTGGGCAGACGACTGAGCGGAAGAATGTCCCTAAAAATGTTTAGCAGCTTCCGTATGGGAAACTAACCCGTCAAAACCATCGAAATTTGGCTGCTATTCGCCCTGGAGCTGGCACAAGTGTCCGTTTCTTGGCTCGAAGACTTTGTTCTTGTGGTAGGAGCCAAGTCGTAACTCCCTTTGCATCGTGGGGGCAATTTTTGGGTCAAAAGAGCGAAAAAACCTTCTGGAAACCCTGTTTATTAGTGTTTTGGGGCGAGGGTTTATAAACATGTTTATAAACACCCTGTTTATAAACCGAGATCTAAAAACTGTTTATAATGGTCCTAGGAATTATAAACAGGGCCCTAGGCAAGGGGACGTCGGCACAGCCTTGCCTACGTTCGCCTATGTTCGTCTACGCCGGCCTATGTCACGTAGACATAAGTACTTTGCCCAAGTGTGTCCACAGCCGTAGACACATCTTGGTCCCCCCACTCATCATAACTCCAACTTTGATATACCACATGGGTCTACATCCCACTATGTTCGTCGGCATACGTGGACCAATGTAGACTCATGTACACCAACAGTGTCTCCATGCTGTAGGCATATGTAGGCAAACAAGTTTGTCTATGTATTGTCTACGCCAGTAGACACAGGGTGTGCCTACAGGGGGTCTGAACGCAGTGAAGGCTCAGTAGCAGAGCTCCACACCTGTTTTCCCTGGCTCATGGCAGATGGAATGATGCAGATGATGCCTGTTTGACTCGGGCCCAAAGCCGCTGTAGTATGAGGAATAAGGCTCGGTAGCAGAGGGTCTGCACCTGTTTTCTATATCTCATGGTAGATGGAATGATGCAGACAACACCTGTTCGACTCGGGCCCAAGCAATACTTCCATGCTCCGGTTTCTTTTTGTAGCCATTCCCTCCAAAAATTCTGTTTGTGAGGATCATTTATAGGGAGGGAGGAAGGCAAGGTTTGGTCGAAGGTCCGCACCTGCTTTCCATTTGTGGTGTACCAGACAATTAGGCAGACAATGCCTGTTTGACTCAGGCCCGAGCCATCGCCAGTTTCGCTGCTTTTTTTTCTCCTGCTAATTGTTCCCCTAGAAATTCTACAATAAAATAAGAGTAATAAGGCTCGGTAGCAGACGGATCCGCATCTGCTTGCTGTCATGCTTGTGCAGAAGTAATTACGCAGATAATGCTTGTTCAATTCAGGCCCGAGCCATACATCTTCGACTTCATTTTTTTTTCCTTTTGCCATTCCCCCAGAAAATTATATATCAAAATAAGGGTACAGAGCAAGGGACAAAGGCTCGGTAGCAGGGTCTGCATCTGCCCTTAATAAATTGTTTTGATCATCGTTGATGCAGACACTGCCTGTTCGACTCAGGTCCGAGCCATGACAATTTCTAGCCGCAATTTCTTTTTCTCGCTGCAGAAATTCCGAATCCTAAGGGAGGTGCGGAGGGAGCGAGGAAGGCTTTGTAGAAGACCCTCTGCTACAATTTAAATTTTAAAAATTTAAATTGTAGCAGAGGGTCTTCCCTCAATGAATCAGAGGACATGATGTTGATGCAGACAAAGCCTGTTTGACTCAGGCCTGAGCCATGCATTCTTTCCGTCCAATCTTTTTGCCATTCCCAGGCAGAAAATTCCACAATAAAATGAGGGTGGAAAGGCAGGGAGGAGGTTCAGTAGTGGACAGTCTGCATCTGCTTTCAATTCGCTAGCCACGCTGAAACTAATAATGCGGACGATGCCTGTTTGTGTCATGATTTGGCATACTCGCAACATTTTTCGCTCAAACTTAACCCCAGACACGTCTGGGTTATCACAAGCAATGAGATTGGCAAATATGTTATATTTGCAATCTAGAACAAGACAACACATACGGAATAACCAACAGGGGGCTATTCATATTCGCTTGAGGCAATCGGGTCCACAATAACCAACCAGGGGTTATTCAAACGACGATCGGGATACCCCGATCGCTCGTTACCAAGATCGAACAGCTAGGAGTGTTTGTTATTTCACAAAGAGACAACCATCAGTTTCACAAGACGCAGTATATAAAACCCCGTAGAATCTACATGTACTTTAGATTCTACCTCGTCTAATATCAAGTCTACTTTGACCTGACAACGGCACAGCGCTCTCTCACCACGACTACAAACGACGCTCATATACATATCATCTTCTCCTCGAGTTATCCTCGAGTTCGGTGACCAGGTGGATACTCCGCCGCCTCTTCCAAGTCTCGTGATACTCCGCCTCGACGGCTACAGCCAAACTCCCCTATTAGAGCCAGGTTGTTCAGCGCTGCCCTCTCGTTGTTGATCGCGATCACTTCAGACCGGGTTATTCGACTATCGTCCCGGCTGGGTTATTCACTGTCCCGCCACAGCCAGGTCGACCCAGGGCTTGTCTTGACAGTTTGATTCAGGCCCGAGCCATATGATATCCGCTTTGTTTGTGTACCCCCTCCAACCTGAAACTCTTGGAATTGGGGAGGTTTAAAAGGACTGAGGAAGGCTCGGTAGCGGGGGGCCACATCTGCTTTCCATTAACTGTGTGGTCATTGTTGATGCAGATGATGCCTGTTCAACTCGGGCCTGAGCCATAGCTCTGCCCCCTTTCTTTTCTTTTTGTCATTTCCCCGGAAGATTCTACACTGAAATGAGGGTGCAGAGCAAGGTGGATAAGGTTCGGTAGTGGAGGGTCCACATCTGCCTTCCATTCAAAGTCATTAGCTTGATGCAGACAAAGCCTGTTTGACTCAGGCCCGAGCCATGAATTCTCACCGTCCAACCTTTTTGCCGTTCCCCAGAAATTCTTTAATGAAATAAGGATGCAGAGGGAGGTAGATAAGGCTCGGCAACAGAAGGTCTGCATCTGCAATCAATACATCATAAATTCCAAGGTACAGCTCCAGACACCATTGCCTGTTTGACTCAGGTCCGAGCCATTCACCTGCATATATTTCTTTTTGTATTCCATCCCCCACGAACCGAACTGAAAGGTTTTTCCTGATTTGAATTATGCAACGTTTGAACGTCATATGATGCTGTGATGGCAACTGACGAAATTCTGAATGGGGGGGGGACTTATTGGCTGATCAACGCCCTGGAAGCAGAATACAACAAACATCGCACACCACGGCCAATCTACACACGACTTCAAGTTCGTCTGGCACGCAAGCGCTTCGGCCATTTGCCCGGCCCATTGCTTGCCCCATAATCTCATTCACCTGTATGCCCATCACCCGCATTTGTCATATTTTTCTCGACGGCCTTGACTCCGAGCATGTAGAAATTTAGATCTTATTCTCACATAGTTATTTTTGAGTGACACGAATCACAACACGCTCCAGCTGACTGCGCGTCTTGTCTGTTGCCGTACAATAGATGCTAAACATGTCGTCGGCGGTCTGCCGGCCATTGTTTTGCTTAGACCCACTGTCCAACCTCCATCCAATCTCCCCATGCATATCGCAAGGCCATGTGACTTGCGACCCCCTTGGAAATCAAACATTAGCTCGAACACCCACCATCTCCTGAAGAAGGTCGTGGAGAGAGAGAAGGATGGGATACAGAGTCATGCATAGGTAAAATGCGTGTTAATCGCACATGCATCAAGGAGAACTCATCTATCTTTGTCGCATTTGCCGGCTATAACTCATATGACGCCATCGTGTTGTTCCTACCCCATCGGAAAGCTCTCAGTTCCGGAAGTACAAAGTGTGCGTCTCGTATGATCATGCACCCCTCTATCCCTTCACCCACCATGTCGACTTTTCTTAAAATAGTCTTCGATATATTGACGAGGCAGAGATATATGGAGCCGCATCTATTGCCTTGACTATGATCCTAGTCGCCTATCTCACCCTCTCCCGCCGCAACACTATTCGGAATATCCCCGGGCCTCCTTCCCCTTCGTGGATTTTTGGTTGAACTTCCACTTTATCTCATCGGGCCTTGCTAATTACGCTATATGAGCTAGGGCACATGCTGCAATTAATGATGCCCCCGATGTACGGCGACTATGAGTTCAAGTGGCAGAAGACGTACGGGCTTGTCTACCGACTGAAGGGGTGTTTCGGAGTTCGTCTATTCAGCTGAAAGAGCGTCTCTGTGGCTTATCCCCCACATAGCAGGATCAATTGATGATTTCGGATCCTGCTGCCTTAAAGTATATCTTGAATAGTCCGCATTTTAGACGGGGACCCTTGAAGGATAGCACCGCGTACTTGCTGTTCGGTGATAAAAGTATCGTGACGGTGAACGGTAGGTTTTGCCACTCCATCCGATATGTATACTACGCAGGTACTGACTGAGAGCTTCTACAGAGCACGCTCATAAGCGTCTCCGAGCTGCATTAAATTCCGGATTTACTGCAACTGCAGTCCGGAACCATCTTCCTGTGTTTGAAAAGGTGGCACAGATGGTGAGCCCATTCAAGTTCTTGCTCACCCAACTACTTGGATTTACTTCTTGTCCCAACAGTTGACCGATCGGTTAGAGGAGTCTTCCGGGGCATCGACCGATATATGTCCCCTTCTCAGTCTTGCTACAATAAGCGCAGTAGCTGAAGGTATAATGAACTATGTTTTCTTTCAATTGCCGGGTCTAAATTTCTTTTTTGTTTAAGCGATCTTGGGCTATCCAGCAAAAGATCTAGGAGAAGAATTCCTAGCGAACAATTTTCGGGCGATGTGCTCCCACCCTCTTCCTTGCGCAAAAATGTTGGGTTGACGAACGGCTGTTCTAGGACCCTGGCATCCAATCAATCCGCGTTCCAAATCCTCGCCCACGCCGTTGCTGCGGGGTTACCTACGCGGATTCGGGATGCGGCTATCCGGCTTCCGACCCAAACCTACAAAACTCTACGGACGTCGCAGCTTCTGGCGAGTAACCTCGGGAACCAACTCGTTCGAGAGAAAATGGATGCGGCACGCCAGGGATTGGGGACGAACGTGGATTTTTATAGCCAGCTCGGTGAGTATCTCCACGGTGGATCGTCTCTCAATATGCTGAGGGCTCCATATTCAGTGGATGTAGATCACTCAGACAAGACCAAGAATGCACTCACGGGAGAAGAGATCGCTGCCCAAACAGCAATTCTTTTAATTGCCGGACAAGACACTACTGTACCAGAGTCATTTGAGAGGTGCCGAAGGCTAATGGTCTCGAATTTATAGGCTAACACCTTGGCTTTCGGATTCCTGGAGCTCGCCCAAGCTCCAGAACTACAAGATAAACTCCGCGCCGAGATTAATTCGACCCTCGGGGCTGCCCGCGCCGGCAGCGTTTCATACGATAGCATGCCATTGTTGAACTCATTTATTAAGGCGAGGATCTGCCCAGTGCTTATTCAAACAAAGTAATAAACCGCTTGATTCGTGGCATAGGAAACACTCAGGATGTACCCTGCCGCGACAATTTCGGATCGCACAACTCTTGAAGATTCGGTTATTCCCTTGGCCAGCAGTATTATAACCTCAACGGGCGAGCACATTTCACAAATATCAGTTCAAAAGGGTCAGCTTTTGCAGCTGGGACTCGCGTCCTATAATCGGTCCGAACCGTCCCCATCAAATACACCTTTCTCGGCTCATAAGCCCATCCAGACTCGAGTCACGCTGGGGTGCGGATGCACACGAGTTTAAGCCATCGCGCTGGCTTGAGGGGACAGTGTACAATGGGGACGCCTTTGGTCCCTACGCCAATCTGTCAGTCGATTTAGTTGTTTTGCCTTTTATCGCTGTTTGACATACTGTTCATAGTCTTACTTTCCTCGGTGGCCCACGCACATGTCTCGGGTACGATTCACATTACTGTTGAACTCGTTCAATATTCACGAGCCTCGGCCGTAACTAGATGGCGTTTTGCGTGAGTCAACTTCCTCAAGTTTGTTTGGGCCTCCTTACATTCGAGCAGGCTATTGGAGATGCAAGTATTTATCTGCGAGTTGGTCGCCAAATTCTCATTTGCACTGCCGGAGGGCGAACCCGTCGGCACTCGTTGGGCCACCACGCTCCAACCGATCACGTCCAATGGAAAGAAGGGCCTCCGCTCTGCATTAAACGCATCGTATAGCCGGTAAAGCCGCACGCAAGTTGTATTCGGTCGTATTCATCCCATTGAGAGTTGCTTCTGATAGCCCGGGATGAACAATGAACTTGCATGGAAAGAGAATTTACTACCACCATAACAAGTCTAGCACTCGATGTATGCCTTTTCTTCACAAATTGTATGTTTGAGCCGAGTTCATCAAATCTGTCGTCCTGTTCATTTTCCGCAAGTTCTTCCCCGGGATTATCCAATATATAGCAAGCACCTTGCACTCATCAACGCTTTTAGTGCCCGGCCGCCTCTTTGTTATATCCACCGGCGAGAAAGAGAGAGTTCGGCTCCTCAAGCCCAAGCATCATTTTTGCAGTCTGTTTTTTCTCGGAAATTGTACCTGTCGGGTTCGACCTAAACTTCTTTTGGCCTATTTACTGATGGTACCCTGAGGATCACGTTTCCCGATGCGGTTCCGTTTATTGTTATAGGTGTGGGTTGGATTAGTATGGATATCGGTTGTGGTGCGCGATGCGCGCGCGGAGGTGGCGAAGATATCTGCCTCAAACTCCCGAATTCAGATCTTCAAAATGAAACAATCAGTGGTTCGATATTGATGTAAACGATAATACGAACCGATTGCTTTCCATTGTGTCCGATGAACAGCTAGCAATACACTACCCAGGCTTTCCCCTTTGTCGCGAAAATCAACACGCCATTGATACTATCCACGGCAACCGCCCCCAACCAACCGATAAATTCTGGCGAGACGGCTAAAATGTAGCAAAGAGTTCCATTTTCCCCAAGTTGAATGAGGCTCCAATCGGATCCTTCGTAGTTTTGGCGTAAGATAAATGACATGCGCCTCGAAGGAGTCATCCGAAAACAAAAACGGACATCTCCGCATTCCATTTCTTCAGACATCCCTTCGACAGGCGCTGGCATTGTTCCATTGGTCGGAATGCGACGTATTGAGGTATGAACCTTTCGGAAAGTGTAGTTTAGAACTAGGTGGTCAAGTGATATTTCAGGCTGGTGGACGCAAATATTCCACTGGTTCGGTACACGCGTCCTTCTAGTCCAATGGAAAGTGCCGAGCTCTGCGATGAGTCGGTGATTGGTGACACCTGTTTCCCAATTGTTTCCTGATGTTGTTGGTTGAAGTTCAATGTCGATAAACTCTAGAGCAAACGGTACGCCGTCTTCTCCTCTATCTCCAGCCAAGACAGCTACCACGAGAGGAAGACGTGGGTGAAGGCATGCGTGAACAATCTAGAATCCCAAGTGTGTTGTCCGGATAATGAACATAACATTGAAGCAAACACTTACCGAATTGGCTGAGATCTTAGCTCGCGCTCGTTTTTGGTGGTTCAAATCTAAGAGAAGCAGTTCCTCATTCGACCCGTGCCATGGCGTGTTCCAGATTAAAATGAGAAGATCCTTCATGCACATTTCAACTGACCGAGTCAGATATAGGGTCTGTGTAGCATAGAAGAGCGAGATGACCGGCGGGTTCGAATATCCTGAATCCGGGTCAAGGGTGTATACGCAGAGAGAG